ACCAGGTAGGACTGTGACCAGGACCAGGTAGGACTGTGTCCAGGACCAGGTAGGACATCTGGGATATTGAGCTCCTCTGGTGTCCTGATCAAACAGGTTATTGATCAGTTATTAGTTAAAAAGAAGCTCTGAAGACAGTACACTGCTCAGACTGACAAGCTGCTCTGTGATTGGCAGAGACCTGGAGCAGGACTTCCGTGATAGGCTGACTGCGCTGCGCAGCCAGTCAGAGCAGGAGAGCGAGGCGCTGCTGCAGCAGGCGGACAGAGAGCGCAGCGCCATGCAGGAGGAGCTGCAGCTGCTGCGGGCGCAGGAGGCGGAGCTTCAGGAGGAGCTGAGCAGCGCCAAACAGGTGAGCTTCATTTACCTGCTGCAGACACTGGAGAGGCTGTGTACCTGTCACTGACAGGTGGCGGGAAAATTTACATGAAAATGATTCAAGAGGAGGGGAGGAGGCCTCGGGGAAGACCCAGGACACGTTGGAGAGACTATGTCTCTCGACTGGCCTGGGAACGCCTCGGGGTCCCCCCGGAAGAGCTGGAGGATGTGTGCGGATCGGGAAGTCTGGGCGGCTCTGCTCAGGCTGCTGCCTCCGCGACCCGACCCCGGATAAGCGGGAGAAGATGGATGGATGGATGGATGATTCAAGAGTACGGAAGCCCAGAGCGGTCGTTTTCCGCTACTGTTCTTTCTTCGCCGTCTTCTCGAGATAACGAGTTAATTTTCTCGTTATCTCAGGATAACAAGAATCGTTTTCTCGTGAAAACGAGATAATTGGTGTTTGTGTTTGCCTGCTCGTGCCCGGTCCAGGATGGAATCCCAGGTGTGTGGGACCTCCCACACACCTGGGATTCCATCCTCAGTCACCAGCGGGGGCCGGAGGGCAGACGAGACCGGGCACGAGCGCTTCGTTGTAAGCTGTCGTGCCCGGTCAGCTGTTCTCATGACACGTCATGTCGGAGTTCCCGGTCAGCTGTCGATATAAGATACGTCACACCAGGAAGTCCGACAACTTCTGATGAAGGCTGAAGTGACAGCCGAAACGGTGTTCGTTTTCTCAAGATGGCGAGATAATTATCCCGTTATCTCGAGAATTTAAAAAAATGTGCGGCCATGACCACTCTCGGCTTCCGTACAAGAGACAAAAATAATATAGAAAAACTCTGAAATGTCCTGAATCTGAAGTTTAACTCACTGATCTGTTGACGTAACGTCTGTGGTGAGTTCAGTTCAATGTAAATAATGCTGACGCTGAGTCGTCTGTGCTCAGACTGAAGGTTCTAGTTTCAATGTGCTGAAACAAACAGAACTCTGGTTCTGATCATGTTTGCAGGAGAACCTTCGTCTGGACGAAGAACTGAACTCTGTGAAGCTGCAGCTGAACGAAGCTCAAAGTTCAGTCAGCAAACTGCAGAAGGACCTGGACCAGCTGCTGAACGACAAGGTGATGACACGACACGACACAGACACACAAAATACCAACAACAGGAACGAGACAAAATGATCAGAGACACGAAACATCCACAAAGAGACAGGAAACA